GAACGGCCTTTAGAAACTTGTATAAGGAATCTTTCAGAACTTTGTATACCATATTGTTAGACCATTCCTGGAGTATGCGGCTCCAGCATGGAGTCCATATCTAGTCAAGCATAAGACTAAACTGGAAAAGGTTCAAAGGTTTGCCACCAGACTAGTACCCGAGCTGAGAGGTATGAGCTACGAGGAGAGACTACGGGAATTAAACCTCACTTCGTTGGAAGACAGAAGAGTTAGGGGGGACATGAACACCACATTCAAGATTCTCAAGGGAATCGACAGGGTTGATAAAGACAGGCTATTTAACACAAGGGGCACACGCACTAGGGGGCACAGGTTAAAACTGAGTGCCCAAATGAGCCATAGAGACGTTAGAAAGAATTTTTTCAGTATCAGAGTAGTAGACAAATGGAATGCTTTAGGAAGTGATGTGGTGGAGGCTGACTCCATACACAGTTTCAAGTGTAGATATGATAGAGCCCAGTATGCTCAGGAACCTGTACTCCAGTTGATTGACAGTTGAGAGGCGGGACCAAAGAGCCAGAGCTTGGCCCCCCGCAAGCACAACTAGGTGAGTACAACTAGGTGAGTACACACACACACACACAAAGGTCAAGAACAGTTAAACTACAGAGAAGTATCACTAATAAGCATCTCCTGCAGGTTATAGAGAGACAGATCGGGAGGAGGCGACACGAACACTGAATTAACTCTCATATTATGTCTTAAAACACCAGCACTGTCGTAGTAATGTCCAAGCATGCTTTATAAACTTATTGAAGTTCTACAGTAAGACAAAAGAAGACATACAAGAGAGAAAAGGATGGGCAGACTGCACATTCCACTACTATCAGAAAGCATTTAATACTGTCCCTGCTCTGGAAAGAAGGAAAGGGTTTCAACAAGAGCAGAGGTATGAGAATAGAGGTTTCGAATTAAGAACCACAAGAGTCGGTTTTAGAGTCAATTCTGTTTCTAATTTATGTCAACGACCTGACGGGATATTGCCTCCTTCATATAATTGTTTATAAGCGATTCAAAACTAATGAGAATAATCAGGAGAGCGAGAGACTGTGATTCCCTTCAAACTGCTTTGGTAACACTACAAAAATGGTCTCAAAAATTTATGGTACCTACGATAATTATGAGGAGACTGTACTAAGTCAGTGTGACTTTACAGCATTTGTAAGGAATGTGAGTACTTAGAGCCGGGATATTAGAACTTAACATAGCTAAGAGGAGTGGAACTGAGTGATAAGACGGGTATACCATAATAAAGTGAAGGGGGGTGATATTTTTGTATCAGTAAAGGCAAAGGACCAGACCTGACAGAAGGCTGCATGTACCTTATGCGATACCTGTACCTATTATTATTACCATAGTAATGTGAGCAACATTTACCATACTGGCCACAATACGTGCTCCTGTCAGAAACTGGCACATAAAGGCCTTCCGGGTCCTTTACTCCAACATGCGGCCCAGGCGTGCAACTCTCACATGAAAGACAACTAAAAATGTGACATGGAAAGATTGAGGGAACTAGACGTTACCGTAATGTAACAGAGGAGAGATAGAAGGACATGATAACGACGAGTTTGAAAGATAAATTGAAAAAAGTAAACAAAGCAGCAATGTTCAGAGCTAGAAACAACAAAACGAGGATCATAGATGAAAGTTCAATACATTAAATGTTCTGTCAAAATTACAAAAAATGAAATTCGGTGTCAGAGCCGACAAAAGGTGAATGCAAATTGTAGAAATAAATTTTACAAAGACGTGGGACCTTCATCACTGTAAGCACACCTCGGAGAGTACACACAGGGGCCTCGTAGCCTGGTGGATAGCGCGCAGGACTCGTAATTCTGTGGCGCGGGTTCGATTCCCGCACGAGGCAGAAACAAATGGGCAAAGTTTCTTTCACCCTAAGTGCCCCTGTTACCTAGCAGTAAATAGGTACCTGGGAGTTAGTTAGCTGTCACGGGCTGCTTCCTGGGGTGTGTGTGTATGTGGTGTGGGGAAAAAAAAAAAAAAGTAGTAAACAGTTGATTGACAGTTGAGAGGCGGGCCGAAAGAGCAAAGCTCAACCCCCGCGAAAACACAACTAGTAAACACACACACACAGCCAGGAAGACCGTAGCCATCACTGTGGGACGACAAGATGAAGATACCACCACCTGCAGGGAAGCAGGTCGGGGTCCACAGCTACTTGAAGGTCACGAGACCCGGTGCCTCCGCCGGCCTCCTACCACCACCATGGAAAAAAACAGTAGAGTGGCAGAAGCACCAGGAGGACGGTGTGAGTGGACACCGGGAGAGAACATCATCTCAAGGAGAATTGTGGAACACCATTCGAGTAAGTTCTCTTGAACTAAATCACCCCATCATTCATTTATTTCTTGCCTCTGTTATGGCTTATAGTTAGGAAAGTGTCTATTTCTGTTTCTGACAGTGGTGGTGCTGTTGCTGACAGCGGTGGTGCTGTTTCTGACAGTGGTGGTGCTGTTGCTGACAGCGGTGGTGCTGTTTCTGACAGTGGTGGTGCTGTTGCTGACAGCGGTGGTGCTGTTGCTGACAGTGGTGGTGCTGTTGCTGACAGCGGTGGTGCTGTTGCTGACAGTGGTGGTGCTGTTGCTGACAGCGGTGGTGCTGTTTCTGACAGTGGTGGTGCTGTTGCTGACAGCGGTGGTGCTGTTGCTGACAGTGGTGGTACTGTTTCTGCAGTGGTGGTGCTGTTGCTGACAGTGGTGGTGCTGTTTCTGACAGCGGTGGTGCTGTTGCTGACAGTGGTGGTGCTGTTGCTGACAGCGGTGACAGTGGTGGTGCTGTTGCTGACAGTGGTGGTGGTGCTGTTGCTGACAGTGGTGGTGCTGTTGCTGACAGTGGTGGTGCTGTTGCTGACAGTGGTGGTACTGTTTCTGTCAGTGGTGGTACTGTTTCTGACAGTGGTGGTGCTGTTGCTGACAGCGGTGGTGCTGTTTCTGACAGTGGTGGTGCTGTTGCTGACAGCGGTGGTGCTGTTTCTGACAGTGGTGGTGCTGTTGCTGACAGTGGTGGTGCTGTTTCTGACAGTGGTGGTGCTGTTGCTGACAGTGGTGGTGCTGTTTCTGACAGTGGTGGTGCTGTTTCTGACAGTGGTGGTGCTGTTTCTGAGTGGTGGTGCTGTTTCTGACAGTGGTGGTGCTGTTGCTGACAGCGGTGGTGCTGTTTCTGACAGTGGTGGTGCTGTTGCTGACAGCGGTGGTGCTGTTGCTGACAGTGGTGGTGCTGTTTCTGACAGTGGTGGTACTGTTTCTGTCAGTGGTGGTACTGTTTCTGACAGTGGTGGTACTGTTTCTGACAGTGGTGGTACTGTTTCTGACAGTGGTGGTACTGTTTCTGTCAGTGGTGGTACTGTTTCTGACAGTGGTGGTGCTGTTTCTGACAGTGGTGGTACTGTTTCTGACAGTGGTGGTACTGTTTCTGACAGTGGTGGTACTGTTTCTGTCAGTGGTGGTACTGTTTCTGACAGTGGTGGTGCTGTTGCTGACAGTGGTGGTACTGTTTCTGACAGTGGTGGTACTGTTTCTGACAGCGGTGGTACTGTTTCTGTCAGTGGTGGTACTGTTTCTGACAGTGGTGGTACTGTTTCTGACAGCGGTGGTACTGTTTCTGTCAGTGGTGGTACTGTTTCTGACAGTGGTGGTACTGTTTCTGACAGTGGTGGTACTGTTTCTGACAGTGGTGGTACTGTTTCTGTCAGTGGTGGTACTGTTTCTGACAGTGGTGGTGCTGTTTCTGACAGTGGTGGTACTGTTTCTGACAGTGGTGGTACTGTTTCTGACAGCGGTGGTGCTGTTTCTGACAGTGGTGGTGCTGTTTCTGACAGTGGTGGTGCTGTTTCTGACAGTGGTGGTACTGTTTCTGACAGTAGTGGTGCTGTTGCTGACAGTGGTGGTACTGTTTCTGACAGTGGTGGTGCTGTTTCTGACAGTGGTGGTGCTGTTTCTGACAGTGGTGGTACTGTTTCTGACAGTAGTGGTGCTGTTGCTGACAGTGGTGCTGTTTCTGACAGTGGTAGTACTGTTTCTGACAGTGGTGGTGCTGTTTCTGACAGTGGTGGGGGTAATCTGGAGGAGGTGACTGAGGGGTGTCCCTTGTAGGGGAAGTTGGTTGGGGGCGTCTCTTTTGGTTGGTGATGGAGGTGATGGTGTGGGGAGGGATGGAAGGGGTGACCATGGAGGGGAATGATTAAAAAAGTAACCCATGGTGGGAGGGGGGGAATAGAAAGGGGCACCCATTATGGGGGCAATTGAAGGGATGCCCATATTGAAGGGGGGGGGGGGTGATAGACGGGGGCCGTCTATCACCCCCCCCCCCACTCTCATGAATTTCCCCCATAGCGGGGGGAAATTCATGAGAAACCCATGGTGGGGGGCCATTTGATAGAGCGCTCATGGCGTGGTTGTTAGAGGGGGGGGGCGCTCGTGTGTGAGGTGTTGGAGGGGGTTATCTTGAGGTTATCTTGAGTTGATTTCGGGGCTTTAGTGTCCCCGCGGCCCGGTCCTCGACCAGGACTCCACCCCCAGGAAGCAGCCCGTGAAGGCTGACTAACTCCCAGGTATCTATTTACTGCTAGTAACAGGAGCATAGGGTGAAAGAAACTCTGCCCATCGTTTCTTGCCGGCGCCCGGGATCGAACCCGGGACCACAGGATCACATGTCCAGCGTGCTTTTCGCTTGGCTGGGCTGGCTGGGGCGCCCATGGCGGGGGTGTTGGAGGGGGTGCCCATGGCGGGGGTGTAGGAGAAGGCGCTATTGGCGGGGGTGATGGAGGGGGCGCCCATGGCGGAAGTGATGGAGGGGGCGCCCATGGCGGGGGTGTTGGAGAAGGCGCTATTGGCGTGGGTGTTGGAGGGGCGGCCATGGCGGGGGGTGTTGGAGAAGGCGCTATTGGCGTGGGTGTTGGAGGGGCGGCCATGGCCGAGGGGGAGGAGGAAGGGGGTTTGCGTCACTTGCGGTGGGAACACTCCAGCACTGTCATCCGCACCTTGCGCTCCTCCAAGCCAGTTCTGGGAGTCCACAAAGGTGTTCACATTCACCATCATCATTCATCAACAGCAGGAGCGTCTCGCAATATTAATATCATACAACAATTAACAGTTTAGTGAGTCTACCCTGCCACAGGGATGAAGAAAATGTAGAAATTAGCAAAGTGGCAAGTGAGCTGTGTGCTTGAGTGCGTGTAGTCGGCAACACAGTTGATCGAGCACAGCCCTGCAGTGAGGGTCCCGCTGCCTCACTCCCTCACACCTCACACCCTCACCCCTCACACCCTCACCCCTCACACCTGCTCACTCCGTGACAATGTTTGACGTGTTCGGCACAATTCGTCAGTTACTGAAGCTGGACAAGGTTAAGATAGACAATGTGATCTTCTCCCTGCACTACAAAGTGACTATGGTGATCCTGGTGTCGTTTAGCTTGTTGGTGACTAACAAGCAATACTTCGGTGACCCCATCGACTGTATGGTGGACGCCCTCGACAGTCACACCATCGACATGTTCTGCTGGATACAGTCGACCTTCACCATACCGTCGCTGACAGGTGCCGTGGTGGGGGAGGAGGTGGCCCACCCCGGGGTCGCTAACCGTAAAGCTTCGACGCTAAACGACCACCACGACGACGGAGAAGAGTTCGCCGTCCGCCACCACAAGTACTACCAGTGGGTCGTCCTCTTCCTCTTCCTGCAGGTCCGTCACAACACCTTTCACCATGTCTCAACCTTCTAGAATTGCCTGCATAAAATTTACATCCCAGTGATAACTTTAATGTACACATCCAACTGTCGTTACGTCGCTTAGTGTGTCTCAGACGCTAGTGCTACACTTAACACTAGTTGTTCCCCTCCAAGTGTTTCCTGAACCACTGCTCTGAGGCAGGGAAGGACTCGGGTGACGCCGGGTGGTTCAATAACACCTGTTCAAACAAGACTTACATAAGTTGTTGACAACTGCAGGATTTAAACAGGTTGGTTGATGCTTGACTACTTCTTAGACCCGGGTTAGAATTCCGATGTATATAGAATGTATAGAGTCGCTTCCTTTGTCGAGTAGCTTAGAGATGTGGCAGCGTGGGGGAGCTTAGTGATGTGGCAGCGTGGAGGAGCTTAGTGATGAGGCAGCGTGGGGGAGCTTAGTGATGTGGCAGCGTGGGGGAGCTTAGTGATGAGGCAGCGTGGGGGAGCTTAGTGATGTGGCAGCGTGGGGGAGCTTAGTGATGTGGCAGCGTGGAGGAGCTTAGTGATGAGGCAGCGTGGGGGAGCTTAGTGATGAGGCAGCGTGGGGAGCTTAGTGATGTGGCAGCGTGGGGGAGCTTAGTGATGTGGCAGCGTGGGGGAGCTTAGTGATGTGGCAGCGTGGGGGAGCTTAGTGATGTGGCAGCGTGGGGAGCTTAGTGATGTGGCAGCGTGGGGGAGCTTAGTGATGTGGCAGCGTGGGGGAGCTTAGTGATGTGGCAGCGTGGGGGAGCTTAGTGATGTGGCAGCGTGGGGGAGCTTAGTGATGTGGCAGCGTGGGGAGCTTAGTGATGTGGCAGCGTGGGGGAGCTTAGTGATGAGGCAGTGTGGGGGAGCTTAGTGATGAGGCAGCGTGGAGGAGCTTAGTGATGTGGCAGCGTGGGGAGCTTAGTGATGAGGCAGCGTGGGGGAGCTTAGTGATGAGGCAGCGTGGGGGAGCTTAGTGATGTGGCAGCGTGGGGGAGCTTAGTGATGAGGCAGCGTGGGGGAGCTTAGTGATGTGGCAGCGTGGGGGAGCTTAGTGATGAGGCAGCGTGGGGGAGCTTAGTGATGAGGCAGCGTGGGGGAGCTTAGTGATGTGGCAGCGTGGGGGAGCTTAGTGATGAGGCAGCGTGGGGGAGCTTAGTGATGTGGCAGCGTGGAGGAGCTTAGTGATGTGGCAGCGTGGAGGAGCTCAGACGGATAACTATCCAGGTGCGTCATATAAGAGTGTCACGCATAGGAGCGCCTTGATGGAGCGTCATGCGGGGCGTCATGAGGGTTGTTATGTAGGGGTGTCATGAGGGGTGTCATGAGGGGTGTTATGTTGGGGCGTCATGAGGGTTGTTATGTAGGGGTGTCATGAGGGGTGTTATGCTGGGGCATCAAGAGGCGGTGTTATGCTGGGGCGTCATGAGGGGTGTTATGCTGGGGCGTCATGACGGGTTATGTTGGGGCGTCATGAGGGTTGTTATGTAGGGGTGTCATGAGGGGCGTTATGCTGGGGTTTCATGAGGGGCGTTATGCTGGGGCGCCATGACGGGTTGTTATGTTGGGGCGTCATGACGGGTTGTTATGTTGGGGCGTCATGAGGGTTGTTATGTAGGGGTGTTATGCTGGGGCATCAAGAGGCGGTGTTATGCTGGGGCGTCATGAGGGGTGTTATGCTGGGGCGTCATGAGGCGGTGTTATGCTGGGGCGTCATGAGGCGGTGTTATGCTGGGGCGTCATGAGGGGTGTTATGCTGGGGCGTCATGAGAGGGTGTTATGCTGGGGCGTCATGAGGGGGTGTTATGCTGGGGCGTCATGAGGGAATGTTATGAAGGGGCGTCATGAGGGGGTGTTATGCTGGGGCATCGTGAGGGAGTGTTATGAAGGGGCGTCATGAGGGGGGTGTTATGCTGGGGCATCGTGAGGCAGTGTTATGGAGGGGCGTCATGAGGGGTGTTATGCTGGGGCGTCATGAGAGGGTGTTATGCAGGGGCGTCATGAGTGGTGTTATTCTGAGGCGTCATGAGGGGTGTTATGCTGGGGCGTCATGAGAGGGTGTTATGCTGGGGAGTCATGAGGGTGTATCATGCTGGGGCGTCATGAGGTGTTATGCTGGGGCGTCATGAGGTGTTATGCTGGGGCGTCATGAGGGAGTGTTATGAAGGGGCGTCATGAGGGGGGGTGTTATCCTGGGGCGTCATGAAGGGGTGTTATGCTGGGGCGTCATGAGGGAGTGTTATGCTGGGGCGTAATGAGCGTGTGTTATGCAGGGGAGTCATGAGGGGGTGTTATCCTGGAGCGTCATAAGGGGGTGTTATGCTGGGGCGTCATGACGCAGTGTTATGCTGGGGCGTCATGAGGCGGTGTTATGCTGGGGCTTCATGAGGGGATGTTATGCAGGGGGCGTCATGAGTTGTGTTATGCAGGGGCGTTATTAGGGGGTGTTATGCTGGGGCGTCATGAGGTGGTGTTATGCTGGGGCGTAATGAGGCGTTGGTCTGCTGGGGCGTCATGAGGTGGTGTTATGCTGGGGCGTCATGAGGGGTGTTATGCAGGGGCGTCATGAGGGGGTAGTTATGCAGGTGCGTCATAAGGGAGTGGTATGCTGGGACGTCATGAGGGGAGCGTCATGAGGGGGTGTTATGCTCGGGCGTCATGAGGGTTGGTATGCTGGGACGTCATGAGGGGGTGTTGTGGTGGGGCGTCATGAAGGGGGTGTTATGCTGGGGCGTCATGAGGGGGGGGTGTTATGCTGGGGCGTCATGAGGGGGTGTTATGCTGGGGCGTCATTAGGTGTTATGCTGGGGCGTCATGAAGGGATGTTATGCTGGGGCGTCATGAGTGGGGTGTTATGCTGGGGCGTCATGAAGGGATGTTATGCTGGGGCGTCATGAGTGGGGTGTTATGCTGGGGCGTCATGAGTGGGGTGTTATGCTGGGGCGTCATGAGTGGGGTGTTATGCTGGTGCGTCATGAGGGGGTGTTATGCTGGGGCGTCATGAGTGGGGTGTTATGCTGGGGCGTCATGAGTGGGGTGTTATGCTGGGGCGTCATGAGGGGGGTGTTATGCTGGTTCGTCATGAGGGCGTGTTATGTTGGGGCGTCATAAGGGGTGTTATGCTGGGGCGTCATGAGGGGGTGTTATGCTGGGGTGTCATAAGGGGTGTTATGCTGGGGTGTCATTAGTGTGTGTTATGCTGGGGAGTCATGAGGGGTGTTATGCTGGGGCGTCATGAGGGCGTGTTATGCTGGGGCGTCATGAGGCAGTTTTATAGAGGGGCGTCATAAGGGGTGTTATGCTGAGGCGTCATGAGGGTGTGTTATGCAGGGGTGTCATGAGATGTTATGCAGAGGCGTCATGAGGGAGTGTTATGTTCGGGCTTCATGAGGGGGGTGTTATGCTGGGGCGTCATGAGCGGGTGTTATGCTGGGGCGTCATGAGGGGGGTGTTATACAGTGGCGTCATAAGGGGGTGTTATGCTGGGGTGTCATGAGCGGGTGTTATGCTGATGCTTCATGAGGGGGTGTTATGCTGGGGCGTCATGACGCGGTGTTATGCTGGGGCGTCATGAGGCGGTGTTATGCTGGGGCGCCAAGAGCGGGTGTTATGCAGGGGCGTCATGAGGGGGTGTTATGCTGGAGCGTCATGAGGGGATGTTATGTTGGGGTGTCATGTGGTGTCATGCTCGGGCGTCATGAGGTGTTATGTTCGGGCGTCATGAGGGTGTGGTATACAGGTGTGTCATGAGGGGGTGCTATGCTAAAGCTTCATGAGCGGGTGTTATGCTGGGGCATCATGAGTGGGTGTTATGCAGGGGCGTCATGATGGGGTGTTATGCTGGTGCGTTATGAGGGGGTGTTATGCTGGTGCCTCATGAGGGGGTGTTATGCTAATGCGTTATGAGGGGGTGTTATGCTGGGGCGTCATGAGGGGGTGTTATGCTGGGGCGTCATGAAGGGGTGTTATGCTGGGGCGTCATGAAGGGGGTGTTATCCTGGGGCGTCATGAGGGGGTGTTATGCTGGGGCTTCATGAGTGGGTGTTATGCAGGGACGTCATGAGGGGGTGTTATGCTGGTGAGTTATGAGGGGGTGTTATGCTGGTGCGTCATGAGGGGGTGTTATGCTGATGCGTCATGAGGGGGTGTTATGCTGGGGCGTCATGAGGGGGTGTTTTGCTGGGGCGTCATGAGGGGTGTTATGCTGGGGCTTCATGAGTGGGTGTTATGCTGGGGCATCATGAGAGGGTGTTATGCAGGGCGTCATGAAAGGGGTGTTACGCTGGTGCGCCATGAGGGTGTGTTATGCTGGTGCGTTATGAGGGGTGTTATGCAGGGGCATCATGAGGGGGTGTTGTGCAAGGGCATCATGAGGGGGTGTTATGCAGAGGCGCCATGAGGGGGTGTTATGCAGGGGCGTCATGAGGGGGTGTAATGCAGGGGCGTCATGAGGGGTGTTATGCAAGGGCGTCATGAGGGTGTGTAATGCTGGGGCGTCATGAGGGGTTGTTATGCTGGGGCGTCATGAGGGGTTGTTATGCTGGGGCGTCATGAGGCGGTGTTATGCAGGGGCGTCATGAGGCGGTGTTATGCTGGGGCGTCATGAGGCGGTGTTATGCTGGGGCGTCATGAGGCGGTGTTATGCAGGGCCGTCATGAGTAGGTGTTATGCATGGGCGTCATGAGGAGTGTTATGCAGGGGCGTCACGAGGGGGTGGTATGCTGGGGCATCATGAAGCTGTGTTTAGCTGGAGCGTCATGTGGAGGTGTTATGCTACGGCGTCATGAGGGGGTGTTAAGCTTGGGCGTCATGAGTAGGTGTTATGCAGGGGCGTCATGAGGCGGTGTTATGCTGGGGTGTCATGAATCGGTGTTATGTTGGGGCGTTATGAGGGGGTGTTATGCTGGGGCGTCATGAGGGGTGTTATGCGGGGCATCAGGAGTGGATGTTATGCTGGGGCGTCATGAGGGTGGTGGTATGCTGGGTCGT